TGTGATAAAGTTATCGTGATTAATTCGACGGACTGAATTATATCGTCTAAGTTTTATTTCCAGCCCTCCGGCTAACAATGTTATCTACTAAATAAAAATTTAATTATGTAGTTTGCAGATCAATATCGCCATGCCCGTGGATCACTCACTAAAAAAATCAAAAATGCTGTATATCAAGTCTTTGCGCAGCATAACCTACCTACTATTAAATCAACAGGCGGATGGGCGGAGTGGAAGAAATTATCTATGACTGAATTAGTGAATATACTAAAACTTATATGGAAGCCATAATGGAAAAAGTATTTCCTAATGGATTGACTTCAAATAATTCAACAGCATATATCATGGCTGTTGTTTCTTTATTCTTGGATCCTCATAGTGGTACAATAGACATGAACGAAGGAATAGTGATACTACTGATGATAATTCATTTAGTAAGTGCCACTTGTGAATTGTGAACTAACCTAACATTATGTTAACTTTGTTTTTTAATTTCAGGATGAATTAAACGAAAAATTGGAAGATTCAGATTAGGAATTCAATATAAGATTTATTTTCATGTTGCTACTTATTACTTATTATTAAAAAATTTAATAATTAATAATATATCATTTTACTTGTATTTACATGCATTATGAATTCAATAAAAATTTACATAATTAAATATTATCGTTAGATTGACAATTTTTACAAATGAACGTTTACACTAACCGAAAAATGGATGTTAAATTAATAGTTTTTAGATGCATATAATATGACGTTCAACCTGCGGAGGGTCCATCAATAAACATTTATTGGACATATGTCCAATAATAGTTACCGGTCTCCTTGGAAATTTAGTGATGATACTACTCTGATCCTACAAGAAATAAATATTGAATTGTCTTTGCAATTTCAAAACTAAGCTATCTTTGACATATTTATTCATGAGATACTGTATCTTTCTAAAACACTAATCGCTGTCGCTATATCATAATCAGGTTGCCACTTTGACATTATCAGCAAGTTCGTGTCTTTTGTAATGGTACATTTTTTTTATAGATATCTGAAAGTTTTCACACGACTGGTGTTAGCACGAATACAGACAAAATGACTACTTAATTAATCTGGAGCTTCTGGAAGGATACATCTTCTATAAAATGATATAATATATTAAAACGCATACTTTATCTATTCGAAAACAAAAATATGATCTAATAAGTGAATATATTTTCACTACGTCCTAGGATAGCCCTATGAAAAATTGATGTCAGGAATTTTTTAACAAAAAATGATTGGAAAATAGTTTAAGACAAATTCTGGACAGATCACTGTCCAGAACAGATGCCGAAACGTGAAAGTCCTGTTTTTGTCCGGATTTGCCATTGTAACATTCATCTGAAACTTATTACCAAATGGTGGACGTACATTTTTTTTATAATTTTAATTTAATATAATAGTATTTTTGCCTGTTCTGCAAGTGTACTTAGTACAAAAAGAAGGGTTTAAAATGTCAGTTGTGCTTTTTACATTTTTTGATTTTTTAATTTTTTATATCCGAAAATTGTCCGGTTTTATTTGTATAGAATATGATCAGAATTTTTTTATGTCAGGAATTTGTAGACATGGTGATATGGTAACATAACATTCTGAACATCAATTTTTGTCTTGTCATGAATATCAAGATATTTTCTGGACATTTTCCTGATACACCCAGACATTTTTGATGACATTTTCTGGAATTTTATTTTTTTATAAGGCTTTCTTCATTTTTTTAAACATCAATTTCACCAACTGACGATTCTGGTGGTGCATGCACCATCTCAACTTTTTAAAATATCATAATTTAAAACAATATTATAAAAAAAAATTATAATATATATTGAAATAATAATAATAATAAACATTTATTCCGGCATTAGCAATGTTCATGGTTTGTTATTCCATTGCTTTGTGAATAGTTACTCAACATTCTTCACGAACCATCTCCTGCTAGTAACTATTGCACTACTCCAAATGAAATCCATGATAATTAAATTCTAATTCAATTCAACGAATTAATAAACTATATTGAAACTATAGAAATTAACGCTGTTGAATAGTAACTTGTTATATCTCGTTCGACAAGAGCCGTAAGTCTGCAGTATTAATCCCTAATCCTGATGTCGACCTTAATAATGTAACTTTGATTTATTAAATTATTCTCAATTTATTTTAAATAATATTTACTGATCTGTTGAAAGAATTTCAATTATTGACTTTTATCGTAATTTATTCTATCTGCATGGATAGCAAGGATTCACAGAAAGCAAGTAATTGTGCGTAAAATAGTTAATTATTTAAAAATATTTTTATAGGTGATAAAATTTCTACCAATTCTCGATTCTTTATTATTCCATAGATTGATGGTGTGATACTACTTCCTTGACCATCTTGATACATGTCAAAACTATGAGATCAAGGGAGCGTAGCGTATAAGAATGCGGGTCCATATAACTAAATACTTACCTACACCTTTAACTAATTCGTAAATTTCATCTAATTTGTAAAATGCAAATTTTTTGTCGTTTTCAGCAGCTTGATATACCCATAATTAACTTTATTTAATTCAATGTTTTGCACATAATATCTCCTTTTCCAGTAACTTCATTATATAAATTGTACACCATTTCTTTATTAATTTCTGTTTCAATTCCATTTATATAACAATATCCGAGATAAAACTTTGCATTCACTAATCCATTTTCTGCTGACTTTTTATAATATTCAGACGCCTTAATTTCGTCTTTATTAACTTTTTTTCCCAACTCATAATATTCACCCAGATAATGCAGTCTGATATTATCTCCATTATCTGCTGCTTTCTGACAACAATACAAACTTATTTCCAAATCTCTATTTTTACCTCACCTTTTTCATATATTATTGTGAGCATATTTTGTGCATCAGTATGATCATTTTATGCCAGTATATAGCTCTTTCTAAATTTTTATCGATTATTAGATAATAAATAGCTAAATAATACATTGCAATTTCATTGCCATTTTCTGCTGCTTTTTGATACCAATATATAGTTTTTTCTAAATTTTTTTCTATTCCATTTCCATATTGGTAACATAATGCTAAATTATTCATAATCATTTTCTGCTGCTTTCTGATACCAATAAAAAGATATTTCTAAATTCTTTTCTATACCTTTGCCTTTTCCATATAAAAATGCAAGATAATTTTGCCCTCTAACATATCCATTTTCAGCTGCTTTTTGATACCAGTAAATAGCATTTTCTAAATTTTTTTCTATTACTTTTCCGTTTTGATAAAATATAGCTAAATGATACATTGCAATCTCATTACCATTTTCTGCTGCTTTTTGATGCCAATAAATAGCTATTTCTAAATCCTTTTCAGTTCCTTTTACATATTGATAACAGAGCTAAATCATATATCGCTATTAAGTTATCATTTTCTGCCGCTATTTGATACCAATAAAAAATTATTTCTAAATTCTTTTCCGTTCCATTTCCATTTTTATAACATAAAGCTAAATAAACCATTGCAACTATATTATCATTTGTCACGGCTTTTTTATACCAATAAAATGCTTTTACTAAATCCTTTTCTGTGCCTTGTCCATATTGATAACGTTGTGCTAAATTAACCATTGCATCAATATTACCATTTTCTGCTGCTTTATGATGCCAATAAAAGGCTTTTTCTTAATCCTTTTTTATGCCTTCACCCTGATTATATAAATAACAAGGAAAAGCTTGCGCATTATCAAATCCTTTTTCAGTTAAATCTTTACATATTATAAACGATTCTTTTTTATTAATTTCAGTTCCAATTCCAAAATAATAGCAGATCCCGAGCTTATATTTTCTATTTATGAAATCTTTTTCATGAAATCTTTTATATATTTCAAATGCTTTATTTTCATTTTTTTCTATACCTACCTATAATAAAAAATCCACATAAATTTCCATTATTAGCAGATTTTTGATGCCAATAAATTGCTTTATCTAAATTGGAATCTGTTCCTATACTATTATCATAATAAATCCCAAGATTAAGTTGTCCGCAAATGCTTTCATTTTCTGCGGCTTTTTGCATCCATTTAAAAGCTAGATTATAATTTATCTCGGTTCCTAATCCTGTCTTATAACAATTTGCAAGATAAACTTGTGCAATTGGATAATTATTTTCCGAGGCTTTATAAAATAATTTATATGCTTCATTAAAATTTTTCTCAACATTATAATATATAATTCCCAAGAAAAATTGATAATAGGATTTCACTTGGTTTTCTTTAAGCCATTCAAAGATCTCATATAAATTTCGTGTTAAAAGAAATATGCAATGATTAATAAAATGTTCTGTTTCATTGAAATTATTTCCATCATCTTGAGTCTTAATTAAAAGATTAATTAGCTTATCAATAAGAGTATTAATACTATCTTCTATATCATGTATTTCCATAATAATTTTTCGGCTTGATATAAAATATGATGTGAATTGCACTTGTTATGTTTCAAGATTTAAATCCTGCATTAATCTACTAAGAAATAAATCAGAATTATTAACTATACATGATGCATTCAAAGCTCATTACTTCTGTATTTTTTAAATGAATGATAGAATTTATTTTCAAGCGACTTAATGACTTGTTATATAGTAGGACGCTCATCATAACAAATTATTTCTCTCATGCCTTCATTAATTTTCATAATTAAATTCACATCATACTTTACATTTTCGGCATAAAAAGGTCTATGTCCACTTGAAATTTGCCAAAGAAGGACTCTGAAACCGTGAACCGTGACTGTGGCAATCATTTGATTTAGTTGATCATATTTATAATATTTAACTTTATTAACTTTATTAAATTTGTTATATTTGATAGATTTATTATATTAGATATATTTATCATATTAGTTATATTTATTATATTAGATACAGTATACTGTATTTATCATATTATATTACTATTAGTTTATTTTATATAAATAGCATGTATTTTCCCTTGAGTTGAAAGATAACTCGAGATAGGGTTTTGTGAATAAACCAAGAGTTCAATAAAGATATTTGTTATTCATTTACTATTACCTTTTACCGTGTCTTCATACAGGCGTGATTGTGATAAAGTTATTGTGATTAATTCGACGGACTGAATTATATCGTCTAAGTTTTATTTCCAGCCCTCCAGCTAACAACTCCAACACTATAAATATAAGATTTTGGATTTAAAATATCTTTATATTTATTTGAAATATTATTTAAATATTGTGGATCAACATAAGGAACAACACCTAACACATAACTTGATGACGCATCAGTTATTTTTTGAGATAAACTGAAATCTGCCAACTTTATATTATTCTGATGCACATGTACATTCTGCGCGTGCTATTTGAACAATAAGAATGTATATTAATTATTAACTTGGTTGAGATATACAATTGATAAAGCAAATATTTTACCCTACCAAATCACAATGAATAACTCATTCGTTAGGCAAACAGGCTACAGCATTTGCAAGTGTAAGGATAATTGATATTTACTACTCCATTCTAGTCTATTAAAATTTGCCTTTAACAATGGTCCAAAATCAGCGTACTCCATAACCAACAAGTATTTGTTTGTTATATCCGATTTAAATATCCCATAAAATTTTAAAATATTTGCATGATAATCAACTTCTCGTTGCATTTTTATCTATAATATTTTAATATAGTTATTTAATGTGTTTAATATTAATAGTTATAAAATATAAATTGTAATACCTCATTAACAATCTCTTTAATTGTCAATTTGTATGTATATTTTAAAGTCATAATTGTTTCTGGACCTTTCCAATTTGCGCGAAATACATTTTCAAATGAACCACTACTGATTTTCTTCACAATAATTGAATTCAGAATAATCATAATATTTGATATAATTTACCAATATCGCTCTTAAAATCAGCGTCAAATTATTTAATTCATTGTTGACATATTTATTATGAAAGTATTTGTCGAAGATTTCAAGTTATGATTTAAATACTTCTCGATGTTGTGTAACTTATATAAAGTAAGCTTACCTATAAAGGTATAAAGGCGATTTTTAATTAACAAAATTTGGCTAATTTTTATTTGTTGTACTTTGTATTACCTGAAATATGTTAATCCTTTGGAATTCGATAAAATTTAATAGTTTTAAATCTACTTGAATTTATTTCTGAAGAACTCTATTAGAATAAGAAATAATTTAACAAATTTCACAAGAGTTAAAATTTATCCACGTTCAAGTATAGACAATCGTGCATTATCTATTATATGACAAATGAGTTATTAGACCAATGAATTGAATTTGTAATAACGACGCCTATCCATTCCTCCCTCCCTATCTCTTTTTTTTATTTTTTTTTTTAACAATTATACTTATTTTAATCAATTACCTTGTTGATTTCACCTCTACAAATATTTTATTTTATTCATGTAACATTATTATAAAAAAACAATCGCGTACATAATTCTTGAACAACATTAATGAATATCGAACTTTAGCAAATTTAAATTATGAGATTTGTAAAATTTTGATTTTAAACAACTAGAACAAGAATAGATTCTAGCTCTTTCTTCGTAAGTATAAACAACAATATCTATATACAATTATTATTGTGCAATTGAGCATCATTTATGAATATTGTGCTGTAATTCGAGAAAATCATCCTATTCCTGAATAATGTAGATGATTTTATTTTAAGTTGATATTAAAGAAATTGAATTGGGAAGATGGTGTGTGTAAACTCTGGAATATTTTTATATTAGCAATTCTATTTCCATAGGGGCATTGGGATAGGGGTTTTGCATTGCACAAGACCAAATAAAATGCCCAGTAATGTTATCTTTATTTTAATCAACATCTAATTCTTTAAATGAGATTATTTTATTTTTTACAATTTATGTTGATAACACGTGATTATGAAGGATAAGTTTTTATACGTGTGATTTTATTGGATTTGTTTTAACTTAGAAATAACAAAGTATTATATACCAAAAATGAAGTGAATTCTAGGTATAAAATGTTATATAAAATTTTATAAAAAAATCGAAAATTAAAAACACTATAAAGAATTATAGCAAAGCCATAAAATAAAATCTATTTACTCATGACTTTTTTAATTTTTATAATAAACCAAAAAATATAAATAAAAAATTATTAAAATCGTTTGAAATTTATTTTATGCACTATTAAGCTAATTTTGTGCACATGACCGAGATCAGCTAAGTGGCCAATAATATAAATTTGGGAAAAGATATCAAATGATCTTAATATTAAAGTTAAAGTTGAACACGAATTTGGGAGATAATTTTTTTTTGAAATTCAATAAAGAAGTATAATCGATTTTAATATAAAATGTTATATGTGTTACAGTGGCATTCAAAAGTATTGCATCACCTGAATACAAAATTTTAAATAGCATTATCTTATGATTAAGAAGGCGCAGCGGTATCAAAATTATTTATTAGACTCATCA